TATTCCCACCCATGCAAGCAAAAGACATTCAGTTAGTTGTGACAGTGAGAGACACTGGCTGCCATGAGTCTGCTATGTCTTCAAAAGGAGTCAACACAACTCACTTCATTTCTGAGATCTTCCTCTTCTGACTTCTCTTCTGCTGCTTCTGCCTAGAAGAACAGAACGCAGAGCACAAGGTGACAGGCAGACCTCAGCCTCCTCAACACCCACCCTGCACCAAGAGGAAGAGAAGGCACCAACACACAGGACAGAGAAACCAAAGCAGATCCCTCAATCAAGGGGAAGGACAGGAATCAAGACAGACCCTGTGACTGCCACCTGTCTCATGAAGTTCACACCAAGTCTGCCACCTGAGAGGCACGAACCAGCTGAGACAGCGTGCACGAGGTGGTGACAACAGCAAAGTGACTTCCAGCAACCCAGCACGCAGGCCAGCACCAGAGCATTCCCCTGACGCCTTCAGTCCACTCACCTGGAGCCCCAGCATCTCAGCTTGCTGTGGGGTCCGGCTGTAGTGTGTGATCACCAAGGCATCATCTTTCTGGGGAGCATGTGGGTTTTCAACAAAGCTGTTTCCCGAGGGATCATCAATGATCTGACAGATAAGTGAGGAGAAAGGAAAACAAACCATACATAACCTCCATCTACCACTAGACCACAGCAGGAAAATCATAGTCAGTTTTCTGTTGTTTCGTATTTTGAGGTTGGGCTTCACTATAGCCCGGCCTGGCCTAGAACTTGCTATGTAGTCCAGGACCCTGAACTCAATCCTCTTGCCTCCACTTCTCAAGTCCTGGTTTCATAGGATCTGTCAGTCTCAATGGTCTTTCCCCTCCCTCCTCACATTGGAAACAGTGCAGTCACTTGTTACTTACCAGAGTGAACGGGGAAGCCATTCGCTTCAGGTCCTTCAGTTTGCCAATGAACTCATCAATTCTTTCGGCTACGGCATGTTCCATTACCTGCCACGAACAGAACAGAAACACCAACCTGGTAGGACACCTCATGCTGCAGCCCTCTCTCACCTCTAACACGTCGATGAGCATGACACCAGCCTTAGCGTGGCAGCACAGGGGCCCAAATCTCACAGTGAGACACAACAACAAATCTGAAGTTTATGAGTGGTGCTGCTGTAGGAGGCTGGGCTTATTCTCTCACTTATTCTACCATTTAGCTCCACTGGGATCCGCTGCTTCCGGCCTACAAAGGCATCTGCCATCACATACACATACCCATACACAGGCACATAGCCCATAATTAAAAATAAATTCCTCTAAAAATTCAAAATCTTGTTATGCCTCTCTAGCAAGTTAGGGAGACAGATGACTACATGCACGATTGCATTATGTCTGTAACAGTAAATATAGATATAAAATACCCAGCAGGCTGCAGATAACTGAAAGGCTCCTCCAAGGTAATGTTATATTGTCCAAGGTGAAGCCTGAGTACATGGAGAAATAGCCCCTTTATGTGCTTTGTCAAAAAGTTCCCCCACATGTGGTGAAACACAGTTCAGCTACATGGGAGGCTGACTCTATCAGAACACAAACAATAACTCCTTCTTGCTGCAATTTGAGAAAAGTCCCACTCACCCGTCGCGTGGGCTGGTCCTGTTCCAGGCCAGAGATGGCACGGCTGATCAGTCCTTCAACCGTGGTCAGAGCTTGTGAATGAAACACAAGTGAGTGCTAGCTGGCTACCACATGCCTGCATGACCCTCCGAACTTTACCCGAACTCTGCAGGCCCTGCTTCCCTCATCTGTGAAGTTCTAGAATAAGATCACCATGGTCTTCCGGGGACTCCCAACCTCGCTTCCTCTCGGGTTTTGCCACAACTTCCTACCCACGTTTAAGCATGAAAATCCACTACGATTAAGTGTGATAGCTTTGGCCTAAGACTTACCTCCCTTCTGGCTGAAGGCTGGAATTTCAAAATCCAGCTCGGGGATCCTTGTGGTGGCCGAGTCTGTCTTCACCACTTCTCTGTTCATATCCTGGACAGAAAGGAAAAACGTTCTAGCAAAACATTTCTCTCTGGGAAATATCCGGCCCGGATTCTCTATCAAATGCCAACCAAGCTGTTTCGTCTTCCCTCCTTCCATTCTGAGGAGTCCAAACTACTTCAGGTCAGTACATATGGCGTGAGCCGCCAGAAAGCCCAGGTGAGAGCACTGCCCATAAAGTCCTGCTCCCTCATTCCATCTCTCTCACAACTCAAAGCACTTTAGCCACAGAGCTGCCGAGCAGAGGGCGGCACCACCAAATCCACTGTCAAAAGAGGGCACGAAAGACTTGGCCACGAGGATTTACTGGGGGCCCGATGGCCAGGACCAGAGCTGTTGTGTTGCCTCTGGCCTCCAAGATGCTCTCTCTGAAACCGTGGGCTAGTACCTCGTCTGGACTACACTTACCTCTTGGCCCCTAACGGTCAAAGTGTAGCGCACTCCCTGGTCCTGGATCCTGCCTGCTGACTGGATCTCCGTGTTGTTCCAACCGCAGTGCTCGCAGAAAAAGGAGCTCACGATTATTTCTCTAAAGAAGGGGATCTTGGTGAGCAGAAGGCGCGTCGTGCCCTAAGGAAGCAGAAGCAGCGAGGGGAAGAATGAATGGAACTCATTTGTCCCGCGTAGGTCAGGGCTGCCTCTGGGTGCCCGGCTGGGTGGTCCTCAGACTCCGCGCCCCTGACTCACGTTCCGGTAACAGTTCATGCACAGGGACTCGATCTCGGTGGGCTGCTGCTCCTCATCCTCGGCGCTAAGGGGTCGGAACAGGGGCCCCGTGGCTGGCGACCCAGCCGCGGAGGGCGAAGGCCCAACAGCAGCCCCCGGGGGGCCGGGCTGCACAGCCCCGCTGGCAGACATTGCCCCCACGCGCGGTTCAGGTGAGCAGCTTCCGCCTTCCGGGGCTCCGGTGGCCTCACTTCCTCCAGCCGTTGTTCCCGCCCCTTCTTAAAGAGACCACAGACTTCCGGTTCCGGAATCATGCGGAATGTACTGGAGTACCGCCGTTCGTAGCCAAGTTAGTGTTTGGGTCCCTGGTTGTGGCTCCAACACACAGAGAGCGTAACCGTTGGTCCCTAAGTCTATGTAAGAATGCCTGAGGACAGGATTCCAGTTTGCCTGGGAATCTTCTAGACTGTGCCCTCCAAACTCTGTTTACTTCATAATGAGCCAGAGAAAGCATTGCCGCAGGGCTCAGACTGGATGGGGATGGATTCTGGCACAGAATACTGAGTGTTACGGCTCGAATAGAAAGGTATTCTGGCAATCAGGAGCCAAGGAATACCCAGGTCACAGTAAACGTAGCGGATTACAGCCCTGCCCCAGGGAAAGGCTTCCCCGGTGTAACAGCTCCTTACAGTTCGGCTCCAGTCCCTTAGAGTGTAACAACTGCGCTTTTCTAGGTGAAGGTTTCACCTGCAAAGTGTTACAGCCCTGCTCTGCTCTACTCTGGCAAAAGTTGTTACTTCTCTCCTCCGCTCCATTCCGGGAAAGGAAGGCCTCACCCAAACCTCACTCGAGAGATTTTTTGGGGGGAGGGAAGAACCCAGGAGAGTGACTGCCTCTGCCAGGGTGGAAGAGGACAGCTGAACAGGCCCAGGGTTTATATAGGACTTCTTAGGGGTGGAGTTTTTCCAGGAAAGGAGATTTGCAGGGTGGAGATTGGTCAGATTTCAGTCCCTGAACTCAGATTGGCTAGGTCTTGTGCTCAGAGATTGGTTGGTTTTCTGCACAGGTTCGGGTTCAGATCTGGCTCTGGTTTCAGAGCCAAAGTGTGTTTCTTTCTCTGGTCCTTTTTAGCCTTTTGGCTCTAATTTTAGGGTCAAGGTGCATTTCTTTCACTGGCTCTGATTCCAGGGACAAAGTGTGTTCCTTTGGCACTGGTTTCAGGGTCAGGGTGCATTTCTTTGTTTTTGGTTGCAGGGCCAAAGTGTGTTTCCTTCGGCTCTGCTCAGGGTGTGTTTCTTTGACTGGACCCTTTTCCCAACACAGACTTCGCTTGAGTCCCCCATCCAGGCTGCTCAGCTTCTTCTCCCCGCTTTCCCTCTCTGCTCCCCCAGCTCCCTGTTTCTGTTCTCATAAGCATCGTCCCTAATTCTAATGCACAGCCATTGTTTTTACTACCTCTCATGCCCACTGCATTCACCGGTTCCTCTCTCCATTTCCTAACAATAGTCCCTGCCTTATCTGTTTCTCTCACGTTTCCTTCCTAGCACTTTCCTTCCATGTCTTTGACCACAGCCCAGTTCCATGGCGGAAACTGGCTACATTACAACATCAGTGATGACAAGCGTGTGATCGCATGGCGCCCAGCTCCACATAGGGTCTGTGGTGGAGAGGTGTCAAGAATCCTAGGCAGGGCAGGGCAGAGAAGTATAGCAAGAAAGAAACTTTTATGTTTTCCTCTTTCCCCACCTCCTCCAGTTTCACTGGTCCCGTTTGGTCTCTGATATCTGAGTGAGTGTGGACATGAAGGAGGGGAGTTAGGAATTTGGGGGTCTCGAAGCACAGTGGCACTTGGGAGGCAGGGGCAGGCAGATGTCTATGAATTTCAGGCTGATAGTGAGTTCCAGGCCAGCAAAGACTACCTAGTGAGATCTTGTATCGGAGAGGCAGAGAGAGAAGTGGGGAGTTAGTTTTTGGATCTCCAGAAGAGGGTCAAGAAGCCATGAGGAATCTGAAACACCAGGAACAAGGGTGACAGAACCCTCGGGTAACCAGGGCATGCTTGTCCAGTGACAGGCTGCACATGCGCACTATCCTGTGATGAGCAGACTGTGGAACAAGACTGGTCCAGGGATAGGGCCTGTAAGCCAGCCTGCTCCATCCCCCAAGTGTCACTCACCCAGGGTGGGCCCCTCTGACAGACCAGGAATGGCAAAGGGACAATGGAAGAAACGGCAAACAAGGAGTAAGAGTGGATGGTGGGTGTGTCCTAGGGGTGGTGGGAAGGCAATTGCTCTCACACATGGTCCAATGAGAGTCACACCAGACTTCTTCCATCATGAGCATCTATTTCATTTGAACCAAAAGTCAGTTTCACCCTGAGAGTCAGGATGTGGGCACTGAAGATGGGGAGGGCACACAGTATGCCCCCCTGCAGGGTTTTAGAAGCCCTTAGTGCTGAGGGCTCAGTTTCCTGTGTGGGTGCAGAGTTGTCTAAGAAAATAGGGGCTCTGTCCCATCGCATCACTGACCCACCAGCAACAACGCTGGTGAGGATCTACACACACCGTGATATACTCTCTCCATCACATTCTCCTGCTCTGCTTCGACAAAAGCTCTCACGGCAGCCCTGGGGAGACAAGAGCTCCTCTCTGTGGACCAGCTGTAACAGTGACCGTCTGGCAGCCAAACTCCAGGTTGTAGTGGCACAGGCTTCCAGCACTGTCATGTACTGGCTTGCAGACAGTCTCCCACACGCACAGTCTCCCCACTCCCTTCACCCCCAATGCTGCAACTTGTGAGGATTCCCAAATGAGCACCAGAAGCTGGGTTTGCAAAACCTGGTGAGTGTAATGCACCTGAGTGGGGGAGTTGAGGAGGCTGGCTAGGTTAGGGCAGCACCATTTGGTGGCCTCACCTATACAGTGTAGGACCCTCCACCCTCTGCCCAATAGGCCTTGCTAGAGGCTCAGGGTTCAGGGATCCCCAGACAATGAGCTGGGGAGTGAACCTGAGTGAGTAGACCCTCAGGGCTCTCCCATCTGGCTATGGCCCTGGTCATGAAGGCTATAGCTAATATCTTCCCACAGATCATCCAATCGGCTCTGCAGTCTGTTCAGGGCCTTGTTACTGTCTGAGTGTCCCAACTCAGGAGCAAAGGCGCTGTGGCCAGGCGGGGGTGGTGCTAACTGCTGCTGGACTTCTTCTGTCTCCTGGTCAATGGCGCGGGTGAATGCAGCGATCTGTATGAAGGTGTCGTGACGAAAAGCCTGAAGTCTCTGGCGAACCTCCTCAGAGAGAGCCTGGGGGTCTGGGGAGGCTCCATCTTCTTCCCCATCTACCCTGGCACCGACGAAAGCGCTGAGCCCCTCGCGCAGCTGGTCCAGGTTGCGCTGGATGCTGGTGTGCAGGTCCTTTGCCTTAAGTGTGAGTTTGTGGGACAGGGTCTGCACACAGCGACTGAGTCGCGCGGGGCTGGCGGCCGCGTGAGGAGCAACACTGCGGTGCAGCTCCTGCACATGGTGCCCAATGCCAGTCACCAAGCGCTCTGCGTAAGGGTGGAAGAGTTTTTTGACCTGGTCTGTGTGGTGCTTCACTCGTCTTTGCATTTCCTGCAGCAAGCTCAGCGCCTCGTCCATGCCCCCCAGCAGCTGGGCCTTGGTGTCTTCTCCCACCAGACGCAACTGCTCTTGCAGTTCCTGCACACTCAGGCCCACCTGCTCCATCAGCTCCACCGTGTAGGGCTTCAGCTGCTGCCTCAAGCCCTCCAAGTTCCAGCCTACCAGCTCGTGCTTTGCAGCCATGTAGGGCTCCAGGCGAGCTCTCACCTCCTCCAGCTCGTGCTGCAGCTGCTTCCTCATGCCTTCTGGATCCTGTGCCAGCTGGGGAGGCTCTTTTCCTGGACCACTCGAGGGGCTTAGCTTTTCTAGGAAATTGTTCATATTGTAGAGGTCTTGCTCGAAGCTATTTTTCATGCTCCTGGAGAAGGAGAAAGATAGAGAACCAGGCCATTAGATTGCTAACCCTGAACATCTCCCTTGCCCCAGAGCCATGGGACAGGAATACTCTGTAGAAACCAGGACAGGAGGAGTGGCTGGAGAGCCAGGGTCTTTAGTCCTAATCCCAGCCTACTACATCCTTACAAAGAGAGCACAAACATGGCATTGTGTAGGTAATTCAATCCAGCCCTGTGACACCATCCAAGAAGGTGTCACACACGTCAAGATCCACACCATCCTGTCGTTCTATGGCCTGCTAATCTCAGATGCCACACTTCAGTGGGAAAGAGGGCAGCAGGGCAAGAAAGACTTAGGCAGAGGGTGACCAAGATGGCTTGGATTATGCTTGGCAGTGCAAGCATAGCTGACTCCCTCAGTTCCCCTGTGAACCCCAGAGCCAAGGAACCATCCCACAGCAGGCCTGCCTCATACCCTCACCACACCCTAGCCCAGGCCACTCACTCCTGTGCCAGCTTCTGCTGCTGACCCATCATGCCTTTGTCCCCGCTGCTCTGGCTGAAGTAGTCCCAGAAGCCCTTCCGCGCCTGAGTGGTTGCCAACACTGCAGAGAAAGATAATTAAAAGGCCAGGCCCCTCAGGCCAACCTCCACCCCAATCCCACACTAAAGCCAGATGGAAGACCCACCTGAGAGGAGGGCCAGGGCCCAAGTGATGACAGCAGCCATGCTTACCATGATGTACTCTGAGAAGGAAGGTAGGCAGAGGCTTGATCAGGAGCAGAGGCAAAGGAAGGGCCTAGATCTGGGAACCTTGCTCTAGGGGCTACCTGCCCCAAGTCCTGATAACCCTTCCCTCGTGTGTAGGTCACATCATGTTGAAGGCTCCAGAGAACTTAACTAGGTATTTGGGGGCATGGGGCTGGGAGAGGAGACAACAGAAGTGGGTTGCTCCTTACCTCAGTCACAAAGAAGGGAGCCTGGAACTCAGACTGCACTACAGAGATTGCCTACCCACCTCCAGGCAATCTAGCTCCCTTGTGTATCTGTCTTCCTGCCCCCAGTCCCATTTTGTGGCCAAGAAGCTGGCATAGCCAACATGCAGGAGGCAGGCACTGTGTTAACCCATAGCAGCAGCTCCTTCCTCCAATGGCAGCCACCACCACCACCCACGCCACCCCCACCGTGGTTCTACCACGCAGGCTCACCTGCTCAGTTCTGGGCACAGAGAGCAGACATTCTGCTTTATACTCCAGGAACCTGGGACTCTGACAACAATTGCTCTGAGCAAACACCACGTGGAGGTTCAAAGGATGACCCCAGCTGGCTCCTAGCACTCACCTTTCCCCTTCTCCTGGCACTCTGAGGGTTAATAAGCTCCCCAGCCTCAGGAGGCTTTCCCAGTAGGGAAGTAGCTTCCTGGAGCCTTCAGTAAGAGTGGGCGAACTCATGCCCCAAATCCTGGGATCTCCAGCCTCCCCACTTGCTTGTTGACTGGCCTGCTAATAAGCACTACTTGTTTATCTACTGAGGGCCTTTCTTACTCAACTCCTCAGGGCACTCTGCCCTAGACAGCCAGACAGAGGAATAGTGTTCAGGATTTACTAGAACTGGGGCAGGCCCTACCTGCTCCACCATGGCCACTGTGACAGCCAGGGAAGAGCCAGCATTTATAAGGCTACAGACCCTCCTGTCTCTCCATCTGGAAAATAACCCTGGATGGAGCAGGAGGAGCCAGATCCAGCCGCAGGTGGGTGGGTGAGCTGCACCTGGGTCAGAGACTTTGGGCCTCAGAATCCACAGAGGAAGGATTCTCCCCCACAGGGAAGGCTGGGCGCCACCCCTCTGTGCTTCTGAGGAGGGGAAGCCTAGAAGCACAGATTTGTTTCTCTTATGACAAACTTCCTCCACTCTCTTGCACACACATACCTGAGCGCTTCATCCTTACTGTTAACCCTTCTATTAGTCCCCTGCCTCCACCCACACAGCGCCACAGCCCCAGGGGTTTCTCTCCCTGAGTGCATTCAGTCACAGTTCCACTCTTCCCTCCATCCTCCACTGCCACCCAGTTCAGCCCATGCCCCTTCTCCCCACACAAAGCGTTGGCCATTCCCTGAGCTCCTTACTTCTCAGGCCCCTGTAGCAGGCACTGGGAAGCATGCCTATAATCACAGAACTGGGGAGGCCAGCCTGGGCTGCAATGCAAGGTCCTATCTCAAAAAACTAAACTAAAGAAAAGAAGAAGCTGCAGAAGTCTCCACAGCCCAGCACTCCAGCCACTGAAGAAGGGATGTAAGTCGGTTGATAGAGGACTCACACAGCAGGCATGAAGACCAGAGATTGCTCTCCAGCACTTCCGAGTGTGCAGTTCTGAGACGGGGACATTGAAAGGACATGAGAGGGACAGGACTCGTTCCAGAGTCTGAGTGAAGCCCCTCAGCTGAGAAGCAGGAATACCTGCACAATTAGCATTTGCTGTAAAGGCTGCGGACATAGCTGGTGTTCCTTTCACACCTAGATGCTTCATGTTACAATAGATGCGAATATGGAGTCTTGAGCAGGGCCTCATTGCTTCCCCCAGACACTACCTGAAAACCTCAAGCAACACCATTCACTATAAAGGCATCCTACCTTCCTGTATCCCCATGGGCTAGACTTCTTAAGTCATTGGTTGCAATACTATCAGGTACCCCTCAGGAACTACCCAGTGATAAGACAGTAACTTTGAACCTCACCAAAATCCTGTATATGACTACTGTAAAAACAATGAGCCATGCCTCTCTCTTGAGGAGTCCAAACCCACACTTAAGTGTGTCTTCCTTTTTTTCTGAATACTTCTCTTTCCCCTAACAGGCATGCTTTAGCCTGTATTATAATGTCTTTTATAAACTTCCAGTCCAGTTCTACTTTACTGTATCAGCTAGTCTTGAAATTTTTAAGAGTTTTTTTTATTATCTATGTCTGTGGGGTGGGGGAGATGCCACAGGAGGCCAAAAGAGGGTATTAGATACCCTGGAACTGGAGTTAAAGGCAGTTCCATGCTGCCCACTGGAGGAGCTGAGTCCCGAACCCAGGTCCTCAGCAAGAGCAGCAAATGCTCTGACCTGCTGAGCCATCTCTCTAACCCCTAAGTGTTCCAGTGCTTCATCTCTGCACTGAAGACTTTCATGCTTGAAACACATGGTGTAGCTTCTGCCTTTCTGTCTGAACCTACACAGATAGGAAGGGTAAAGGCAAGGCATACAGCCACGCTGCCTTGTTCACCAGCAACTCATGACTTTAGTGTGGACATGCTTAGGATGGTTGGAGGTATGTGTGTATTCCTTTTGTGATGTGTTTTTATGACTAAAAATTATCAAATATTGCCAGTTTCATGTCATCCTATGCAACAAGGTATATTCATTTGTAATTTAGTATGTCTAATTCACTACAATATTCTTAGTACAGGGATCAGTACATATCACAAAAGCAGGGTTACTAAAATGAGGATGGGATGGACTACTTCGAACAGTGGGGAACTAAAATATTAGACCAAAGTAATGTAAAAAATAGGAAAGGACAGGTCAAAACTAAGGCATTCTCCAGTCTTGCATTATCCAGAGAGAGGATGAGAGTATTGATCATCTCTCACTTTTTATGCCAGGCAACATTATTAAACTTTTAAAGAAAATCCATTATACGAGTAGAAAGAAAGAATAACTTTCAAACTGGGAGATGGGGAAAAGAGACTAAAGAGCATCGGGTTGACCTCTAGTAAAGGATGACGGATTGATTGCATGCACTCACTGCAAACTGTTTCCTGAAAACCCAATAAAATGTCATTAGAAAGCTCTTGTTAAAAATGCATAAATCCACAAGAGGATAGAAAAGGAGACAAAAAACATTTTGGAAACTGTAAAACTTCTAGACAGTCAAGCAGGAGTTACTGGAACACCTGAAATGATGGATTTTGAAGCAGCAATCCAGAAAGTCAAGTTTTGCCTATTCAAATTCCTCCCAAAGTTTAGAGACAGCAGGAACAGACTCTTCTACATTTTTTTTTTTTTTGGTTTTTACGAGACAGGGTTTCTCTGTATTGTTTTGGAGGCTGTCGGTCCAACCTGACCTCAAACTCACAGAGATCCGCCTGCCTCTGCCTCCCGAGTGCTGGGATTAAAGGTGTGTGCCACCAACGCCCGGCCGGAACAGACTCTTCTGAAGTATAGGTGGCAATGGCACAAAAAATGCAGCAACTGGCTCAAAAAATGTTGGAGAAACAGCTGTCTCTAACTACTAGGTCCCTGTCCCTCCTCTGGGGCAACAGACAACTAGAGGTTTGTTTTCTGGATGCCTCATCTATAGAAGAGAAGGTGTGACAGATGGTGGTGGCTACATCTTTAATCCCAGCACTCAGGAGGCAGAGGCAGGCAGATCTCTGAAGTTCAAGGCCAGTCTAGTCTATGAAAGGAGTTCCAGGACAGTCAGAGAAATCCTGTTTCAAAAAAGAAAGAAAGAAAGAAAAAGAGACAAAGACAAGGTATTAGAGGAAGCCAGGTTCTTATACACAAATGAAAGCTTTATATATTAAAGTTATATGGCTGGATGTGTTTCAGTTGGTAGAGTGTATGCTTCATATGCACAAAGCCTTGGTTTGATGATGGTTAATTGTCAGGCTTACATTCCCCATTTAAAATTTTGTGTGTATGCTTAACCATTGGTTATAGACAGCATTTAATTTTCTCCACAGCTATTGTTCTCAGATTGTTAAAAACCAAGGAGGGAGCTTTCTGTAAACCCATGACACCATTATCACGTAAGAGAATTCCCTATCTTATACTATAGTCAAATATCAGTCTCAGCCTTTCTCTGCTTCTCTCCATCGGATTGTTTCTGAGACAAGGTCTCTGTATGTAGCCCTAACCATTCTGGAACTCACAGTCCCCTAGCCTCAATCTTCCCAGATCAAGTTATGTGTGAAGTGTTTCAGGTAGGAATATTGTCGGGGGAGGTGGGGACTTCACATCACACCACACTGGGAGGCACATCATGGCATCTTCTTGCTTTCCTGTTTCTAAGGGGAACACAGAGACAGGTTTGAGAATGCAAGTGAGGCTTCCATGCAAACACCTTTGTAAGAAAAATTTTGAGAGGGAGAGGGGTTGGGGGTGTGTATGTCAGAGTTTGCATGCCATGCTGCAGATGCTAAAAATTTACAGAAGTTGGTTCTCCCTTTCCATATGTGGGATCAAACTCAGGTCCTTGGGCTCAACAGCAAATGCCTTTACCTGCTGAGCCACCTTGCCAACCTACGCATACCTTTCCATATCCCAAATTCACCAGCTACCAAGGATCTTGGGATACTAGATGATGACTCTGTCTCCTATTAGAGACAAAAGGTAGAGCTGAAGGGATGTCTCAGTGGTTAAGAACACTGCTCTTCCAGACGGGTCCAGCTTCAATATCCAGCACCCACACTGTAGCTCACAACTGTCTGTAACTACAGCCCCCAGGCATCTGCCGCATATACATGCAGGCAAACAACCCTAGGCATAGAATAAAATAATATTTTTTTTTAATTTAGGAGGTGAGACAGGGTCTCTCTACACAGTCCTGGATGTCCTGGAGCTCACTGTGTAGACCAGGCTATCCATGAATTCATAGAGATCTGCCTGCCTCTGCCTTCCAAGTACGGGGATTAAAGGCATGTGCCACCACACCTGGCTTATAACTGAAAAAAAAATTAAAAGACAAAAAGAAATAAAATACCTTTCCAAGCAAAAAACAATCTAGTAGTGATTGCTTTACCCTGTGGTAAGGCAATCTACACTTGCTCATAGTGGGAGAAACATAACATGAACAGGGACCAAGCCATCAACACATGGGCTTCTGGGAGTATATTGCTTTCAAGTCCACATTATAGTGACGTAATATACCACAATGAGGGGTATATTACGTACAATACCACGATGAGTGCTTTTCGGTGTATATTGTTTCACTCATTTTTGGAGATGTTAATTTTGGATAGTTGCCCAGAAGTGGGATTGTTGGATCAAGCATAAATGTGTTATATTGTTTGATACTTCTCACTAAAGGAATTGTTCTGTTTTGTGTAGTTACAAACAGTGCATAAAAGTATCTTTTGTTTGTTTTGTTT